AAAATCTTCAAAAAGAATTCTAGCATTATCAGGGCTTCAATATCACTCGATGCTTTTTGCAAAAGTCCTTTAGAGAGGAATCAAGATGACCTGTGAATTTTGTCCGAAATAAGAACCAAACATACTAAATCAGGAGCTATGCAATTGGAACCCAAAAGGTTTGTCATTAAGAAAAACTCATGACGATTTGAGAACTCACCAGTTTTATTTATGAACTCCGATAAAATCATAGAATTGCAGGGTGGGAACATTTTGCTCGGATATATATAAATATATATTTGATTCTACTTCTACAACCAGATGCTAGAAGAGATCTCCATCATCAGTAAGTTCATGCCCTGACGCTTCAATTAGGGACGACATGCACCTGAGTACACACACAACTGGGGATATTGTGAAACAACTCTCGACTGGGTAACATACATTAAAAGAAGTGATAGATGTTTAATAGACCACACATACCTTCTCAAGACCAGTCATTCTTGGATTCAGGAAAACATTGGACCATTCACCAATGCTCCCTCACATGCATCTTTCCTCTGATTGGAACGATCATAAGAATCATGAACCTAGACCCTTGATTGTTAGTTTGTTGTAGAGGCATTGGGTGCATGGGCCGGCAGAAGTAGACGCATCAAATTAGTGCAAAACCCAGTTCTCAGCTCCTGGAGAAGAAGAGGTCTCTCAACCAATTCCAACAAACCTTCCATTCCATCAAAATTGAATATTTTGATCGTTCCTAAGGCCAATGAGAAGCAGAAGTTGATAGGAAGAGACTTCTTTTCTTCTTTGTCTGAAGCGAAATTAGCAATAAGATGAATGAGAGAGTGCAATACACTGATCTCTATATAATCAGAAATTAAACTTCAATAAAAGAAGAAATTGCTTGCAATTATGTCATTACGTCGCAAAACATCACTTTAACTTTCCTAGTAGAGTTTTAAAGACATTTTGGCTAGTAACTTAACCATCAGTCAATATAAAGCAAATATATGATAGAGTATAGTACATGTAACTTGCTGTTGCTTTAAACAGAGGGTAAGAAATTCACTGTAGATTAATCAAGAATAGAGCAATCAACAAAAGATTAATTACCTCAGTAAAATAAAGTTCGTATGGCATATATTCCTTTCTTCAATCCTCAATCTGAATCTTCGTATCCGCTGCTGTCTCCAAAGGGCACTAGAGAGAGATAATATGTCATCAGATGGACAAGAAGGTATTGAAATGATAGATGTACTAAAATAGTGATTCAGCCAGATATTAAGATCATAAAACGAATGTAACTGTTCAACCACCAGCCTAACTTAGATAAATAAATAAAATATGATATGAAGGGATCGCATTGGGAAATATAGATTTAACATACCTTTGAAAAATGAAGATCTTTTGGATCGCACTATCTGCCCATTGATTCTGATACTAGGCGTGTGGCAAATGGATGACCATTCAGGGCTGCCTTCTTGAGCATACCCCATTAATTTGGGACAATTGTTTATATCAAGAGATGTTAAGTTTGACAGCCCAATTGGGATAGCCTGCAAGTTCGGACATGATTGTATGCCCAGTATAGAGAGACTTGGAGATGCAGATCCATCTTCCCACAATGTATAGAGCACTGGACAATCCAGAATATGCAACTCCTAAAGGCAATCAAACACAACCATGCCTCGTGCTTCTGTCCACTGATCTCCAGTTTTGTCTTGTTGCTTAAAGTAAGTTTTTTCAAATCTGGAAATGGTAGGATTGGTTCTCCTCCACCTTCGCTGCTGCTTGCCCACCATGTTTTCAGCTCTGGACAGTCCTGAATATGCAACTCCTGAAGGCAAGGAAACACAACCATGCCTTGTGCCCCTGTCCATTCCTCCAGCTGTTTCATGTTACTTAACTTGAGTTTTCTCAAAGCTGGAAATGGTTTTATCAATTGTCCCCCTCCTGGGCTGCTGCTTGCCATGCTGCTACTTTGATGATAAGACATTCTGCCTATCCTCTTCACATTTGGCATTGCCTTTGTATTGAGAACCTCAAGCTTAGGTAAGAGTTCAAGGCATGAAATATCACCACATTCATCACAATCAATCAATTTCAACTTCACAAGCTGTTCCAAATTCATCATCCATGAAGGGCAGTTGCCTCCCCTATACTTCTTAATGGTTAAGCTTTTCAAATTTGAGTGAGGTTGAAGACCTTCCAGAACAACCATATCTTTGTCACTGTTGGCTCTGTTTTCACTCCATACAAATTGCAACTTGATCAATTCTCCTTTATCTTCAAGTCTTGCTTCTCTAGCTTCTGATTGAGGTACTAGCTCAAGCTTGCAAATTT